GTAGCTCGATGGATTAGGTGGAAGTGCAAGTAGACAGCGCACCACATGTCGTAGCCTTGTCTATGACGTTTTTAGATACCACCTTTTACTTGACTGTTCAGAGTCCAGAGTTCTGAATGGACAGACGTCAGGTGACCCAGTCCCTTGGATATGCAGGCTCAGGCTGCTGTGATGCACTGATCCTTTCACTCTTTATGATGTCACAAAGAGCAGATACCCTGATCTCAGGTCCGACTCTGGGTGGGAAAATTGAAGCTTGTAAGGGTCTGCCCGTCAGACGAAAACTGTGGGCAGGGAGCTAAAACAGCGTCTTTCAAACGTAGCGTGACCTGAGGGAACTGGTTCAGTCCTTTCTGTTGCTTTTCTTCCATGAATATGTTTATAGTGTCTTTAAGTGGACTGTGTGTGCAGCACAGCCGGTAACACTGTGAGTGTGTGTTTGTTGTCCTCATGTGAAAGGCCTCTCCGTGTGTTCTGTCACATCATCATTACAAAACACATTATTATTAGAAATTACATAAAACATTAAACGTGCATCCTGATGCTAAAAGATATGTTTTTAACATAGTTACAAATAGTTACACCACTTACATTAAAAAGAAATAAAAGTAATGTAACTACTTTGAGTTCTTAATCAAAATCGTAGAACTTGATAGTTTTGATTACTTTGCAGTTACTTCTCTAACAAATATCTGAACCTGGGAAATAAAACAGGATTGTCCTTCAAAGGCTTGTGAGGTTTGAAATAAGGCTTTTTAATGAAGACAGATTTCCAACATCGCAAAGGTTCTTTTGGGCCAACACAGCCACCTGCCTCGTCGCGGTCGGCTGGTTGCAGGCACGACAGACTTGGCTCGGTTGAAGGAATCACAAGAGGCTGTAGAAATTAAAGCGAAAAATGCCTTAAAAACGGAGTCTGTCTGGACGTATCGACAGCGCCTCGTGAGCCACTTTCCCCACAGCGCTGTTGCACTTAAATGTGTTCCAGCAGCTTCGCTGAATGGCACTGAGCAGAAATAAGCCAAGAGAAAGGATTTCTGTACATAATGAAAAAATTTACTGACACATAAATTCTGTTTACTGAAGTAATGATCGGTTAATGTTTACCTGCCACTAAGAAGAATCTCTACAGAATAATCTACACATAAAGTGTGCTCAGGGCACAGATTATAAACCACCGTTAAATATTGTTTAATAGCAATTTTCCATTGCTCTGTTTATCAGTGTGACATAGTCTATTATTATTATAATAATATAATATTACATCTATTATTTTATTAATAATTTATTGACTCTATC